GGAGACACTTCAAAACATGGGGCTCATTTTCATCGGAACCGGCGGCGGAAAATAGGATCGATAACCCCCGGGTTTGGCTCAAGGGTTCTCCGAGTGAAATTTGGTTTCGGTTGTTCCATCTCTGTAGAGCATCCTTGATCAAAGACAGAGACCAATATGGACTAATGGTCGCGCTTGGAATTTTCGCATACCGTGGAGATATGGATCTCGAATTCATTCGAACCCTTCTCGCGATCGCGACGAATGCACCCACCAACCTCTCCCCCGCCATCCGTGCTGCCACAGACTCGATTCCTATGGACACGTTCGATCTTGCGTCCGGACACACATTAGCTGAACGCGAAGTCCGTGAGGTCGTGACCAACAAGTGCCGTTCAGTCGATGAAACAGATGCAGCCTCGTTGGGGTTAACACAGAAATGTAGAGAGACACCCGCAGCATGGGATCAAAGGATACGGAGCGCCTTCCATTCACAAATGGAAAACCAGTGTGAAACACTTACTGGCTATATCTTCGCGCATTGGCCCCTTCCTGGCGCAGTTTTGACGGTACCCGCGATGGCTTCTCTTTTACCCGACAGTTCAATCTACCTTTATCCCATTGTGGAGATTGCAGACCTTCGGAAGGGGATTGAAGCCTTATTCACGACCAAGCTGCACAATCGACACATGTTTGAGCGCGTTGGACAATTACAACACACGTTGAATACTGTTCGAGGTCCGCCCCAAACTGCGCTGCTCGCTTCACTCCTTCCATCGATACCCCCTGCGGCAATCCCTCCCCAAAGACATGTGTCTCTTACTTTGGGTTCGTTGCTGAGGCGTAGAGATAGACGTCCCACACGAATGCGAGATTCATCCGACTCTGCTCCCCAATCCAGGAATCTTGATCTCGAATCGGTAGCAATGGCGGGGGAATCAATTCAGTCATCTCAGAGTCGTCAGCTCATCTCTCGCTTGGAGAGAATGCAGATAGATGGACCAAAATCGCGATATATTGCCGATTTGACCCAATGTGTCAAGGCTTTCGAAGTTAGAGATCCTGCCCCCCCAGTCTCTCGTGGTGACGATTACGAGCAGCATTCGGCCTTTTCTATCCTGGATGATGCCATTCAAACCACCCTGAGCCCCCATACCCTGCTCGAACACTTGCTGCATCAAACTGGCCAATGGCCATCGTCTGGACCAGAATCATTAGTCCGCCAACTGTCTCGGGAAGCGTGGCACGTGCTCCCCGAATCCTGGAAGATAACCCTGAGCAGGTATGCCGAGGGCCTGGCTGAAAAACAGCAGCGACGGCGCATTGCCGTACTTTCCAGATCTGGATTCGAGGGGGAGCGTGCTCGGGAAGTTGAAACGCGCGGCAGTCAGGGCTGGGATCCCAGAGTCTATCCGGATTGGCTTCTTGTCCAACTGGATGCAGACCTTCTTATCCGTCCGGTGCAGGCATCCATAGCCCAAAATATGATGTCGCCAGACAACAAGAAGAATGCTCTGATGCAATTGAATATGGGCGAGGGAAAATCATCGGTAAGTTTATATCTTCTTCAGCATTATGTGGTGTCCTAACCTGAATAATTTAGGTCATCGTCCCAATTATTTCAGCTGCACTCGCCAATGGAAAACAGCTGGTGCGAGTAATTGTCCTCAAGCCCCTATCCGCGCAAATGTTCCAACTGCTCAAGCAACGCGTGTGCGGCCTCGCAAATCGGCGATTGTTCTATCTTCCCTTCAGCAGGGATATCCAGCTGGATGGCACCAAGATTGAGCAGATCGTCGCTCTGCTCAAGGAATGTGCCCGAATTGGCGGAATCCTGCTTTGTCAGCCGGAACATATATTATCCTTCCAGCTGATGGGACTGCACGCGTTTTGCCAAACTGAATCTGGCGAAGACGCGCTCATGCTCAGAGAGGCGCAAGAATGGCTGGACGGCGCTGCTCGTGATATCCTGGACGAGAGCGATGAAATTCTGAATGTACGATACCAGCTCATTTACACTATCGGGGCTGTCAGCCCGCTTGAAGGATGTCCCTGGCGCTGGGACATCACGCAAGCAGTGTTCTCGTTGCTCCAGAAGGTCGCGGTCGATGACGTGGAGATGAATACATACCCGGAGCCACGTCGATTCCCTCTGACGAGAATCTTAACCGGCACCGGGCGCCAGGGCCTAGTCCAGTCAATCATCGACAATATCGTTTTTAAAGACGGATTGCAGGAATGGATCTCGTTCAGAATCTGTACGAGCAGAGATAAAACCAGTGTTTCCCGCTTCTTAAGCCAGTTGGACATCGCACCAGAGGACGCACGATCATTATACAATTTTTCTGAGGATCAGTTCAGCCAACTCCTTCTGTTGCGAGGCCTATTTGCCCATGGCATATTCGCTCTCAGTCTTCAGGAAAAACGGTGGCGCGTGGACTACGGATTAGATCCCAGGCGGTCAATGTTGGCAGTCCCATATCGGGCGAAGGACAGTCCAGCTGCTCGGGCAGAGTTTGGGCATCCCGACATGATCATCGTCTTGACATGTCTCTCGTATTACTATGGGGGCCTGACAGACGATCAGCTGAATACAGCATTCAAGTTTCTGCTCAACTGTGACAACCCCGAAGCACAATACGGATATTGGGTCAACGGAATCGACAACCTTCCGCCGAATCTTGCCAGTTTGCGCGGTTTGAATCTGGACGATTTTGAACAGAGAACAAAACACATATTCCCTCTCCTGCGCTACAACAAGGCCGCGATCGACTTCTATCTCTCGGAGTGCGTGTTTCCGAAAGAGGCACGGGAGTTCCAGTACAAGCTCACAACAAACGCTTGGGATCTGGCGCGCACCAGGGAAAAACTCACCACCGGTTTCAGCGGGACCAACGACAACAAATACCTTTTACCGCTCTCTATCAAGCAGTTGGATCAGGAGTCGCAGCGCCACACGAATGCCCAAGTCCTCGAATACATATTGCAGCCGGAAAATCGTAGGGTTCTCTGTACGAACTCCGACAATGCCATGGGCCTTTTATGGCGCTTAGTTCAGCAAACGCCATCTGTGACGGTTCTTCTCGACGTGGGGGCACAAGTATTGGAGTTAAAAAACGAAGAGGTTGCGCGGGAATGGCTCAAGCTCGACACCCGCTCCAATATTGAAGCAGCAGTATTCTTCGATCCGAGCAGCGACGAAATTCGTGTAGTCTCCCGGGATGGACGTGCTCAGCCCTTCGCCAGCTCCTTGTACAAAACCCAGCTTCAGAAGACACTGGTCTATCTTGACGAGGCACATACCCGCGGTACAGACTTCAAGTTCCCTGCCGGATCGCGTGCAGTAGTCACCTTGGGGCCGAAGTTGACGAAGGACAAGTTGGTGCAAGGTAACCACACCTGATATCGAGACTTATCAGGCGTCTAACCTTTCGTAGGTTGCATGCGAATGCGGAGACTCGGGAAAGATCATTCCGTGCTATTTTTCACTTCCGCTGAAATCTGGAGCAAAATTAAAACGGCGACCCAAGCGCAGGATCTCGATTCCAGCCACGTCCTACTCTGGACAATACAAGAGACCTGCACGCAGATCCGGGATAATGGCTCACTTTGGGCCAATCAAGGTCGCAACTTCGACGCACGTCGCACAGCGCTCGAGGAGTATCCCACACGGCGGCCCTATCCGAGTCTCGTCGCTGCTCTGCAGGAACGAGAAGCCCGTTCACTCAAAGAGCTTTATGGCGACGACAACCCGGAGTCCAGAAACGAGAGTGAGGCCCCCAAATTAAGCCCGCTGCAGATAGAAATCGACAAGAAATGCGAGGAATTTGGCATTGTTTCCTCTCACAATGCGCTGTCGGAAGAACAGGAAAGAGAACTTGCGCACGAGAAGGAGGACGAGCGAGAGCTGGAACGTATTGCCGGTGCAAAACCCCTTGATCATCGCGACGATGACCTCCGTAGCTTTATTAACACTGGCGTTATCAGGCAGCCCAACAGCTTCATTTCCCTCGAAGATTGTTTAGCCAACACATCCTGGATCTCCTTGCTGCCGCAAGGGACGATCTTCCGCGGCAACAACCTACGTGCCACCAAGGATTTCCGCGACACCGTAGTTTTGCCTGCAGACCCCGCACGCTCGATGGATTCTTACCTCCGGCCAGTGCAATGGATCTTGTCATCCTCCATGGCCGGGTCGGACGTATTGGTACTGATCAGCCCGTACGAGGCAAACGAGTGGTTGCCACTCATCCGTCATTCCAAATTTGTATCTCTGCACCTTTACTCTCCTCGCGTCTCTCGCAGCGCATTCTGGTCATTCGAACGTCTGGATTCGTTCACCGTTCCTCGCCAGCGTCGCACGCCCAATCGGCAGTTGATCCACAAGCTCAATCTCTTCGCGGGACAGCTGTTCTGCGCCGACAAGACTTCGATGAAGGAGGTCTGCGGAATCCTAGGTCTTCATTTGCAGTCGGTGAACGATCGGGAGGACCTCCAAGGGATGGTGGACCCCACAGGCTTCGTGCGCGACAGAAGGGCCCGCATGGCGCTGGCAATCGACGCGTGTGCTTTCGACTCTACCCCGCTTCCGTTTTTCAGGCAATTGTACGCAGCGCGGCGGAAGGGCCAGGGCTTTGCGCTGACGCATATGGGGCAAATCCTTCGTGGTAACGACCCAAAGGATCCTGATTTCGAGGAAATGCAAGGTGATATTTCAGCGTGCGAGTTTGAACACATTTGTTGACTGTCAAACAGAAGATTGAGACCGATTGAGCGCTGGAGCAACGGCCGCTTGAATATGATCGTAGATTCGTAGTGTATTACAATTGATTCTGAATATTCCAGTTTTCCTGCGCTCGCAAATACACTTGGTCTATCTCAGTTTGCTCAACTGCAAAATATGGAAAGATGCACCTCTATTAGTACTAGATATGCAAGGCCCAAGATACGGAGATTTTATTCTCCACTTCGACGTTTCAAGCCTAGCTCGACATATATACAAGCTCTGCCCACAGCACATCTGCCCCCTGGCCCAGCTGGTTAAGGCGTCCGACTGTTATTCATTCACATGAATATCACGTGGACACGTGTTTGTTCCGTGACTTTGGGCATCGGGAGATCGGGAGTTCGATCCTCCCGGGGGCAGTTCTTTTTCTTTTCTCGTTCTGACCTTCTCAATTTCCCCCCCGTGGGCTTGAAGATGGTTCGTACGCTTCATTTTTTGCGCTGGGACGGTACCACTAGCTGTAACGGTGAAAATCACCAATTTAGACGGAAAGCGGTAGTTTGTTTACAGTTGTTATCCGGCGTCGGGAAATCCGCGGCGTTCTACAGCGTAACGTAGTATAAAAACGTGTCGGGATGCCGAGTGCACAAGGATATCTAGTACACCCGAGTTTCCGAAGCTCTTGGCGCTTTCCTTTTTTTGTTCGTCTTCCTTTTAAATTGCCTCTCGGAACCAACTCGGAACGGAACACTGAAAAATGAAAGGGGACGTCGAGATAAAACCCCTACAGCGAAGCCAGACGGTAGGTATAAAGCTAAGGACCTCTCGAATACGTCTCGCAAAACAGCGAAAGTAAGGATTTTTATACAGAACCTGATCGTACATATGCTTCCGACAACGATGGGCGGAGGGCGTTTTGCGAAAAAGCGCACCGACGCGCCACCGTCCGCTGGTTAGCAGCGGGCCTACATTATCTGAATAAGACAACGTCACCTAAAGCTTCGTTCAAATGCATGTTCTAAATACCCGTCTAATATTCACCATCTAACAAATGCACCGTCCTTCAGAACCTCCAGATTTTCCATACTGTATACAAGAACTACGAAGCGCATAAGGTATAGTGTACAAGATATCACATTACATGCTCATCTCCAGCTAGATCCAGAGCCTCGGGTAGGTGAGTGTGGCGGGGAGTAGGACGAGTTTCGGTTTAAATACTGCGACTGTGGAGGCGGCGCTGGCTCTGGTAGAAAGAGTGGGATAGTGGGGATGAGCTCAAAGACGTTTTGTGCGATAGCGCGTAAAGGCCGGCCTCCGGGCTGCGTTGGATCCACGCCATTCATTACAGCATGTACCTGTGCCTCTTGCACGGTGGGCTCCCCATCGGGGCCTGGTGTTGCCACAATGCTCGACCCAACGCCTCGTCCGTCCCAGAGGCAACGGATATCGTTGCCCGGGATGATTTGGGCTAGGCGTCCAGTTTCGATATTTCGGATCTCGATGAAGCGAGAGTCGAAGAGGAGGATGTAGGGCGAGTGCAAGGCGACCCTCTCAGCGTTCCCTTCCCATTCAATGGTGGCTGCGCCGCGCCGTGGGTCGCCGTGCCTGTCAACGTACACCCCAAATTCTAACAATACGTCAACCCCGAGAATTTGCGGCTTTCCATTGCAACCCACCGTTGTAGCATAAAAGGAATCCGTCGTCATTCGACCGGAACATGCCGATGGGACGACACGCATCACACCGCTTAGATAACGGAGCAAGTCTGGCGTCATCTCGTAGCGGTATGGTAACGCTTTTGAAGCTGTAAAAGGCCGTTAGCTACGGAGATGTATAGAATTCCCGAAACACGCACTCGTTCAGATCCATGATCTCAAAGCCCTTGGTGCAGAGGATGACAATCTTCGCCTTGAGGAAGTAGAGATCAAAGGACTCAGATGGCAGGAAAAAGTCCTGCGGCGAAGGTCATTATGGCGGGGAATGTAAGAATAAAATACAACTAACTCTGTAAATCCGGAACCATTCGGATTTCGTCGAGCGGAAGCCGAGACGCGAGCCCAAGCCCGCGGGAGCCTTTACTTTTTCATTGATTTTATCGCCCACCGGCTCCAGCACACGGAAAATGCTGTCGAGCTAAGGAACGATGAGGAAATAAGAAAGAAAGGTGGGGACAATGTACGCACGCCCTTCTTCTTCATATAGATGACGAGCGTCCGGTTGTGAAGGGTCCCGACGCTGAAGAAGTGGACGTCTTTCGTTCCGTTTAGTTTCTGTGGTACCTGCGACGCGTGAGTGCCCTGCGGCGAAGACGGCACCAAGGCCTCGATGTGGTAGGCGAACAACGACTGCATATATGTTAGACGTTGTTTCAGTCGTATAACGACCTGCATACCTTGTCGGCCAGGACAAGAAATATGCCAAACTCGTCGAGCATGGCGCACTGGGTCACCATTTTGAGGTGCAGGACACGGCGCATAGCTGGAGAGTGGTTAAGAAAAAAAAGACAGCGAGAAACCGTAGGACTTACACCTAGGATCGTGGCGGAACCCGATCCACACGCCCTCTGCGCATCCGATTGCGACCAGACCGCGACCATCGGCGGTGTCTTAATATGTACTGTGAACATTCGCTCCATAACATAACGCAAGACGTACTGAAAGGGACGGAGCAAGTGACCTTGCCCGTGAACGACGTGTCCTGATTCCACTGGGGCGACGCGGGGCCGAGTTGGACCGACGGCACCAAGAACGTGTCCGCGCTGAGCGTCTCGACCTCGAACACCCGATTGGATTCCTGGACGACCTTGCGAATCCCCAGCGCCTCCTCTAACTTCTGCTTCCACTCCGTGCGCGCCTGCGCCGACTCTGAAAAGAGTATGTGCGCCCCACCCAGACGGCCGTTGTGGTGAACGGTCCAGGGATACACGACACGCGAGTCTCCAGCGCTCTCAGGTGTCGCCGCGACCGTGCCATTCGGATCGTGGCGATCGCCCCGCAGATTACGAAGCAGGCCCGCACCGCGTTGTGTCGGGGGATCAGTGAAGTTAACTAGCGTTAGTAGATCTAAAGGAATTGGCTGCCAATGGATAAGCGTACGCTTCCCACTGTCAGGAAAAATCTCACCCGTCGATTGACGTGGTATTTAGTAACCCCATCCCGCTCCTTGGGCTTAGTCATCACAACTATATATTCGGTTGGTTTTGTTACCGCAATAGCATCGGCGCACGCACCATAATTATCGAACAGAACCACAAACAGCTCGCTCCATCCGCTCCATTCCAATGATGGGATAGTATTGTCAGGTTGACGAATCACCTTCCCTGCATAAATCAAAGAGCGGTTCTCGTCGAGCAGGTCCATGTCCTGCGCGCAGTTAATAAGCACCACTGTCAAGACAGAGAGAAAAAACACACGATAGCCTCTCCAGGTTTGAAGACAAGGTTGGAGTTGTATCGCCACAATTCGACCTTTTGCTTCGCCGACACAACACCCGGCTCGGTGTCCTTCCCCAACGCCTTAATGACCTCGAGCACCTGCGGAATCTCCTTGCGGTCATCGTGGTTCTGCGGGGTCTCGTCGAGGATGCCCTTGAGGAGCAGCTCGTACCGAAGCAGCCGCGGGATCGGCCGATTGATGAAGTTTTTCATGTCGAGCCGATGCGCGTCGGGATGCCGGACACATTGCTACATAAATGACGCTCAGCATGCCATCTCACTCAACTCAAATCTCAACACGCACCTCCACAAAGTTCTTGAAATCGAGGTTGTTCGCCATCTCATCGTCGATGCGGTACGCCGCAATCGGGTAGTTGGGGATGTACTCCATGTACACGTCCCGGAAGTTCAGCGCCGCGTCGAACATCGCCGCCGTGATGGAGCGGATGGCGGGGTGCTGCTCGCGCTGTATCTCGTGGAACTTGTCCACAAGCTTGCGGTGGTGTGCATGCAGGTCCGCAAAATTGTGGAACACGTCCAGGATGAACTGGTCCAGCCGCTCAGCCGGCATGATGGGCGGCTTGGCCTCTCGCAGGGGAATAATGTACATCTAAAAGGCAGAGTAAGAAAAGAAAAGGTATGAGACTACCGCTTCCGAGCTTACATTTTGTATGTTCTCCAAATCTTTAACATAAGCCATCTCGCCCTTGATCAACTCAAATATAATCCTGGAAAAAGGTTCAGTTAGAGTCTTTCTCTTCTTCGGCCGTCGAGTCAACTCACGACTGGCGCTTCTGCTCCTCCTTCGCCATCGCCTTCCGGACCTCCGGCGCGACGAGGTCGTGCCACTCCCACTTGCCCGGCGTGCCGCGCCCCATGGCAGACTGGAACGTCCGCAGCTGCGCCACGCTCTGCAGGTTCTTGATCGCGCCGATGGCCTCCATCAGGTAATCCGCGTCCGGGTTCCCCTCCGCCGTCTCGTGGTATATCGCATCGAGCAGCACCGGGTATTTCTGCAGATGCTCCGCCGGCCGGTTCAGGAAGTGCTTGAGGTCGAGGCGCATCGTCTCGCCCGCGCGCGATGCCTGCCGCGAACAGTGCTACGCGAACGTCGTCAGTTCATCGCACTAGAATTCCAGAAAGAAAGATTCTCACCTCCAGGAAAATCCGGAACTCGGGGTTCGCGTCCATCTCCTCCTTCAAGCGCTTCTCCGCCAGCGGATGGTGCCCGATGTAGATTGGATACGCGAGGCGGAACTCCGTCGCAGCGGAGAGAAACACGTCGCCTGTAGGCCGGTATTATTGTCAGGAACATAAAGGCGCACAGAAAGGACGCACCAATGCGCTGGATGACAGGCGCCTGCTCCCGTTGCCGGACGTACATCACCTCAAGCAGGCGCCGGTTGCACTCTCTGAGGTCCAATATGTTACCAAACACCTCGTCGATAAAGTCCTCCAGCCGCTCGAGCGGGATGACTGGCGGGATCGCCATTCGTAGGGGCTTGAGGAAGACCGTCTCGACGGTGTCGAGGTCCTGTACATACTGGTCCTCCTTGCTGATGAGCTTGTGGATGATGCTGAGGAAAGGAGATCAGAAGCGCAGAGAGGCAGAGGACCACAACAACGCACGTCTGGCGATTGATCTCGCTCTCAGGGAGCTGCGTGAGTACCTCCTTCGGCACGGTGTGCGGCCACTCTTCGCGCAGCGGCAGCGCAGGACTTTCCGCGGGGCCCGGCGCCGAGGCGGCGAACGAGTTGCCCTGTAACTCGCGTGAGTGGCAGAGAACAATACGAAAAGGAGGGAAATCACCCTTCGCGGACAGCCGTACGAGTAGCACTGCGTCTCGTCCCCACAGCTGGGCGAGTAGCACTTGGTCAGCATCGTGACCACGCCGGTCGGGAGTTCCTCGCGTTCGGGTGCGGCGTCCGACGTGCCCTCCTGGTCGTCAAGGAACATGTACACGTCCTCGACGCCGTCCTGGAGGAC